GCTTCCTAATAAATAAAAATATTGCTTTTACATTTATCTCACTCAAGTTATGATATTTTAAAGTAAATTAAAACATTAATTATAGAAGCTCATGTAATTGAACAAGCTTTATTCCTGCAACTACTGGGATAATTTCTGCAAATGAGATAGAAATTATGAAGATTTCCAAGATTAATCTATTGTTTCATCAAGAGGGTCAAATACTAACCTGCATCAATTATTCACTTAATCTAAATGCCCTAAAGACTTTGTTGACAATATATTATATGTGAGTGTTGTTAACAGGGATTTTGTTGACAACATTAGGTCAACGTTAGTAGTTTTGAGGGAGTGTTCAACTTGAATTTTAAACTTTTTACACCTACTATATATACCCTGACACAATTTAAGGTTCTCCACCAATTTAGAACTAAGCATGATTAATGATTAATTTTCTTATTTATATAGATACTTCTCCCTTCAATAATCTCACCTTTTCTCCTAATAAGTAAATTATATGAGGACTCCCAGTCCCAAAGGTTATCACTTATATATTAGAAATATATTTCCTCAGTCAAATCAACAGAATTCTAATAGTAAGTTATTTAAATTTGATGATAATCCTTATTCCTTATGTCATATGCTCACACATATTAATCCACAGTTCATTTGTTCAATAAATCTTCACAAAAAGGAAAAAGAGTAAGAAAACATCACGATTCTTTCAATTAACAGTGCACACACATCCATGCCATTTGCTCACACATATTTATTATTCTCATACATGTCATAGCATACACCTATATAATTTTCAATATTCAAACAAGTATAACTCACATGACATAATGCCTTCATGTATTATAATATGTAATTCACATAATATAATACAACTCTGAGTCGTATTAATAAAATAACAGCTTTAAAATATTTTGTGAATCTAAAATATAAAAATAAAATACTTATTTTTAAATACATTAATTATTAAATTCTTTTACATCGTAAATAGTTACTTTAACATGCAATGTGATTAACGTTATTTTTTTTAAAATTAAAATTTTAAACTTTAATTTTTTAAATTAAAATTGTTAATTACTTTTTTCTATTAAATGAGGTTTAAAAATCTAAATTGTTAATCACTTTAGTTCTCATAGTCAAGAAAAATTAATATTAAATAATAAAATAATATTTTATACATTCACTTTTGAGATTTTTTAAATTTTTTTTCTATTCTGTCTTTTTTCTTGATCATTTATCCATCTTCGACCACAGCAACAATGACATTCGAAATGTTTCTAAACATGATAGATGAGAAGATAAAAGTCGTGAGTACTATGAATGAAAAAGCAAAACAATTACCTAAAATGCAAAAGATTAATTTCGTAGATGTTATGACGTTTTTGAGATACACTTATACAAGTTTTCCCACCCTCTCTTTTTCCCTCCTTGAATTCTTAGCTTCGCTGCACTTAAACCCAAAGACCAATTTGTATTTCGTTCTTGAATTGCTCCCTACAGAAGTCAATAGCCATGGCTATTGGAAAATCGTAATAGGTGTTGTAGGCAACAAAAGCTTTGACAGAGCAGTAGCAGTGCATGTCACTTTGATTGCTGCTACGATTGATGATGAATAAGTGCAAACGTGACATTGTAGTGACAGGAGAAGTGGTTGTGTTGGTAGTAGAGGGAGTTCATTTAGATTTTGGCAATGAAGTGAAAGAGGAAATAGATGCATAAGTTTTCAAAACAAAAAGATTAAAATCAAAATGATTGACAACTCTTAATATTAAAAACTGAAGTTAAAATTTTTTAATTAAAAAGATTAACTTAATAGACATTTTAAAAATAAAAACGAATATTTACTCTCTTATTTATTATTAAATTTATGTTATCTAGACACTCATTTTATCTATGAGTAAAGCTTTCATTCATTTAATAAATAAAATATTAATAATTTATGATATTTAACTATTTTTTATTGGTCTATATGTTTATTTTTTATAAATAATAGTAAAGATAGAAAATTAATTAATTGTAAGCATATAACATTTTAAATATGTTGAAGGTGAAACCATGCATCACAATCTTTATGCTGGGATAACTCATTCCCCTAATTATCTCATTTGTATCACCTAATCCATTTCCAGTAGCTCATGTCATGATACAAAAATTTTATTTCAAAATCATAACTCAGCATCTTTTTATTTTAACAGCACTTACTCGTTGGTAATTTCAATGTAACTCCACAAATCTCATTCAAAAAATTAATAATTAAAAAAAAAGAAAATAGATATTTAATTTTGGCTTACAGATGATGGAAGAACTGACCCTTTCTAAGCTTCAATTTACATAGCTGGATCTTTGATTCTACTTCCTTACTCAATCTCGTGAGTTTTTGGTCTACTTTTAATGAATTTTCAATCCCCCTTATGTTTTAACTAAAACATTTATTCTACTAAATGTTCATAAAATTTGATAAACAAAACAAATGTTTTCTTATATGATAATTTGGATATATTTATTATATATAACGATTATATAATAACAATTAAAATATAATTCATTATATATAATGATATGTGTGACGTTAGGTTTTTGTTTTAAATTACAATTTAAATATCATGCCGGTATGGAGTAGGGTGTGTATTAATGTGCTTATAATTTTATATAAATACTCATAGTTATATTTAAATTAATCTAATAAGTAATTTTTTTATCATCGTTATTTATCTTTTTAAGGTTTTGTTAACTTCAACTTTTAGGGTTGAGTTTAAGTATTTACAAATAAAAATTTTTATGAAAAAAATACATAATTATATTAAAATTATAAAAATACAATAAATACTTCTCTTTTTAATAAATTTTAAAATTTTATTTTATTTTCATTTAGCAACATTTTAATATATATTTTTTTTGCATTGAGTATTTAATTTTAATTTTTTAAAATTCTATTTGTTTTTTTTTCTAGTTTCTATTTGTTAATTTTAATTTAACTAACATATATGTTATAAACGAAAGTATTTTATTTGGGAAGTGAGATATTCAGCAGAAATACTATCTTTTGTAATTAGTCACATTTTTTTTTCAAAATTACAATTGACTAAGAATGACATAGCATGTGAACTTCATTTTTTCTTACTGCAACAAGTTTAATTTTATTTAATTCTTTGTTAATTCTATTTTAAACTTTGGAGATAAATGTTGTTACTTGAATTTTTTTTCTTATTACCTTATATAATTTTTTTATTTTTTTTATAAATACTTATATTTATATTTATACAAAAAAACTACTACCTTATATCTAGTGCTTATAGAATTAAGTTAAAATAATTTCTAAAAAAATATTATTAAAAATAATTTTATTATATAAACATACATATATAATTATTTCTTATAAAGAAGAAAATAAAAATAAAATAAAAAATATACGTATATAATTATTTAAAAAGTTTACTTTTTAATTATTGAAATATATATATATTTTAAAATAATAATTTTTTATTATTCAAGCTAATAAAACTAGTTTAAAATTTAAATATTGTAAAGATTATTAGCACCTTAATCAATATTAATTTGATTTTTTATTTTTAAATTTTTTCATACTGTATCAACTATATCAACAAAAGTTGATGTATCTTGATTATAATAATTTATTTCTATAATTTTTGCTCAATTTTAAAAGTAAGACCTATTTAGTTATTCCTATTTAATAAATACTTATTATTAATAATAAAAATATTTACTAATCTCTTAAGAAAACAAAAGTAATATTCCTTCCGTTTTTTTCTTTGATGTTTAATGTTTTGCAAAATTATTAGAAAAATATTTTGTATTCTTATTATTATAAATATTACTTTATTCCTTATTATATTGCTTATTTACTATATTATTTTGAAAAAAAATAGAATTGCTAAAGTGGTGAAAATAAATTTTTATTCGAAAGATATTTATCACACTTTTGTATTTTTAATGTAATAAATACTTATATTTTTTAATGAAATATTACTACTTTTATAAGCTTAAGATGAATCTTAAAAGTTAATGTAAATATTTTTAATTTTTATTTATTTTATTTAAATTTTAAAATGCTTATGCAACGTAAATAAAGAATGTACTCTAATTTTTATAAAAATAAAAATAATAATTTGATTCTTTAACTGTATTTTTTTATCTCAATTTTTTAATTTTTTAATATTTGTTTTAAGTTAATCATTCTATTATATCAACGTTAAATTTTATTGAAAATTTAATTTTTATTAGTAAAAGAGTTAGTTACATTATTAAGACATGGGGATTAATAATAATTTTTTTTATCAAATTTTAATTTTAAATTTTTTATTTAGATTATCAGTATTTTGTAATTTAGACAATCCTATTAGAATAAGAAAAAACTATTTATGAATGGTAGTTATTTTTATTTTTTTCTTTCAATAATTATTAAAATTAATTAAGAAATTATTTTAGAGGTTGAATTATAATTAATAATTATCAAATTTATTCGTGATTTTGTTAACCATAATAAAATGTCATATTGTATTGTACTTTAAGATCTATTTTGTTTCAATCATAATATTTTTATATTTTTTTAACAAAAATTGATCGAATCTTTTTAAAGTTTTTACTCATTATTAACCTTCCACATTTGTCTCAAAAACGCAATTTTAAGCGAGAATTTTCAGCAAAAATTTAATGATATTACAATGAAAAAAATTAATTTAAAACAAAATAAACGTTAGCAGACCAGATTGAAGAAAAATATAAAACCAAAACAAAGTTAATAGAAAGAGAAAATGACTAATATGATGTATTACAAATACTCAAAAATTCTAAATCCAATTATAATCCTGAGGGTCAGCACCATTTGTTGCACCTGTTGATTGCATGTTGCATGTTACACGCTTGCGCAGCCCCAACGGTGGAGAGGCATGTATCTGACCAAAGAGTAGTTGACTAATGTTGTTGACCAAAGACAGATCCCCCTCACACCCTATGTTTTGTTCCGTGTCTTTCGGGACTCAAATACCCTTTTGGTTTCGTAGCTTCCTATGCCTATGTAACTATGTTATGTTGCGTGTGTCTCCTCTAAATTCTCTTTCTGCTTAGTCCCTACGCTCTTGCTTTTTTGTCAGAGAGAAAGAAGAACATTGGCAATGGTGAAGTCTCTGAAGAAGCAAGTCAATCTCTTCTACTCCCTTGACTGTCAAGACCTTGCTCACAAGGTTGCTCTTCAATCTCCTCACATCACTCTCCAGAATATCAGATGGAGGTCTCTCTCTCTCTCTCTCTCTACCCACAATGACTTGCCTTGTGTTGTGTATATCACTTGTTCTTTGCTTGTTTATGTCTCTCTGGAGTGTCTTAGTTCTGGGTTTCCTTTGTCATTTGAGTTTTTGTTTGGTTTTGATTGTTGCTTCTTTTTCATAAGTTATGACTTTTTGATGGATTGGATGGGGTGCCTTTGTCTATGATGTTAACTTTGACTCCTTGTTTAGATTGGCTTTCCGTTAATGTTCTGCAAGGGGAAACGTTGAAAAGTTTATTTTTTATTTTTCTGTAAGTTAAGCTAAATTAAGCATGTTTCCATTGGAGGGACTAAATTCCTAGTATCACTTGTCTTAAAAATTCTGAGGTTTGGGGATGGTATCAAGTATCATGTCCATATGTGACACTGAATGATTAGTGTCCAAGACAGTGGTTTTCAAGGGTCTTGGGAAATTTAAATTGTTAGTTGTGGGTAATGCAAATGAAGAACTTGAAAGATTTGAACTGAACCTTAGATTCTGGATTTCTAGCCTTTTGCACTAACTAGCTTATCAGTAATTATGAGGAAATTCTTTGGTTTTTGCAGTCATCTCTTTAAGGTTATATGTGTAATCATTGTCTTTGATAATCTTCTGATTCCATGATTAATCTGCATTGTGAGAATATTTTTTCTTCTAGGTGTCATTTGTCCTACATAATTTCATTTATTCTTCAAGGTTTAACATTTCATAATAATTTTGTTTGAAAGCCAGAATTCAGGAGAAAACCGTGTTTGGATTGCAGGGAATTGTTAAATGAATGTTCCAAACACAGAACATTTTAGCTTTACTTACCAGTTAGGCTTAGTTAATTGTGATGGTAAAGTTGAATAGTATGCCAAATATTCTACAGCATGTAAGTACACCCTTAGCAAATATTGTGAGTCTATTTGTATGTTTCAATGAAAAGATTATGACAATCGTTGAAGTTCACATTGGCTGGAACTGAAGCATGGTATGGTTGGAGGAAAAACTCAACGCCTGATTGGCCCCAAGCAAGGATTCTTCAACTTGGTGTCTCTTAGTTTTTGGTAGGGACCAGGGTGTCCTCTCAACAAGCTTTATGAATAATTGTGAGAGGAAATGGAAAGGGGTTGGAGTGTTTTTGTAGCCTCTACCTTCTACCTGCTACTTTCTAAGCTGGTATGTTGGTGCAACTGATTGAGAGAAAATTGGACTGTTTTTGAGTGTGTAAATTTGTAATTGAACTCTATGCTGTCCAAATTTAGTTTACTTTGGTATTGTCTTAGTAGAAAAACATGCTAGTTCCATTTGTTCTTAACTTCATGCTGCTTCTTCACTCCAAAAAGTGCAAGCAAATTGAGCATAAAAATTTGCATGATTAAGCTTTCATCAAATCTAGCACTTAAAATTATTATAGTTGAGTTTGCAATATATCTAATATCCCTTGATAATATCTGAAGATAGTGAATGATGAAATGGGGAGATGGGTTTTTTAAATGATATTAAGATGTTGTCTTTAATGATGACACTTTAACATTGGAGGATTTTGCTAGAGAATCTTGAATAGGAGAGATAAGAACATGCAGTATGCAGCAAGCAAGAAAAAAATTGATTTCAAAAGGATTCATGGAATCATGGCCCAAAGAAATGGATATTGAAGAGGATGGATCTGATTCATAGTAAACAGAGTGAGAATTATAGATTCATGATGATGATATGATGCTTGCCAATTAAGAGTACTAGTTTGGATTAAGGATTTTGTTCAGAAGAAATTATATGGTCTTCAATGGGTCATACTTATGTTTCAATGTTTTCTCATGACTTAATTTGCCTAGAAATCTTATTTTGTGATGATATTAAGTTATACTATTACTTCAGTTTTGTTCTATCATGATACCAGTTACATGACATAGTAGTCAATCCCGGATAGCGGCGCGGAGCGGCCAACCTCAAAAACGCTATAGCGGGAATAGCGGTAGTGGGATGACTGCTATTCTGAAGTTTTAATACACACACATACATGCTGAAAAATATAAAATTAATATACAAATTTGGAACAAAACAAAAAAGAAAAACTCAAATTAGAGAAGGAAATAAATAACAAAAGGCAAAGGGTGCAGGAGCAGCCATTGCTTCTACTTGAAGCTTTGAAATTTGAAACAGAACAAAGTAGGAGAATCAAAAGAGAGAAAGAAATAGAAAAAACAGAGAGAAAAGAGAAGAAATGAAAGGAGAAATGAGAGGAGAGCTGAGGAGAGAGTTGAAAGGTGAGTTGAGGGGCTAGGGTCTACAAGAGGGAGGGAGAAGATTCAGAAAATAAAAGGGGGCTGAAATCCCAATATTACCCCCCTTAAAAGCCCCAAATGTTAAAAAAACAAAGGGTAGATTCAGAATTTTTAAGGAGAACAGTATAGCAGCTGCTACAGCCGCGATTTTCGCGATTTCCGGCCGCTATTCGTGGCGCGACAGCCGCAACACTGAACCGCAACGCTATAGGATTGCCATAGCGGAACTGCGCCGCTCCGCTCCGCTATGCCACGATAGCGGCCGCTATGGTCGCTATTGATAACTATGGTTACATCATGACATATTTTGTTTCCCTCATATCCTCAGATGTCTAGGGACCTTGATTCCTAAAACCACATTTTACCTGTACAATATTATTAAGCAAACTGCATGATAAATGTAGTTTTCCTTTTCGTTTTTTTTTTTGGCAAAAATTAAAAAAACTGATTAGTTTTATGCTTGTCCAGGTCCTTTGCTGATGGCTTTCCAAATCTCTATATTAATAATGCTGAAGAACTCCGAGGTCAACATGTTGCTTTTTTGGCATCTTTCAGCTCCCCAGCACACATCTTTGAACAACTTTCTGTCATATATGCACTCCCTCGTCTATTTGTTGCTTCCTTTACATTGGTATTGCCTTTCTTTCCAACTGGATCTTTTGAGCGAATGGAAGAAGAAGGAGATGTAGCAACTGCCTTCACCCTTGCAAGGATGTTATCAAATATTCCAATTTCAAGAGGTGGCCCAACTAGTTTAGTCATATATGACATTCATGCTTTACAGGTTTGTGTATTTAATTCATTTCAAGAAAGTAATATGCTTTGCTTTTGTAATGTGTATTTAAAGGTCCTTATGAATATATATATACAATACAAATTTTGTTGCATACTTTTTGTTCTTTGGTTACGCATGATAGGTGCATGTTTACACTGCATTTCTGTTGTGTTGTCTTTTAAAGAACTTTTCTTCATTGATGTAGAGAATGCATAAATGAGTACCATACTACCATCCAATAGAATATGTGGATTAGATGGGTGAAAAATGTAGAAAATTATGAATATGTTTTTGCTTAGTTGATGTCCAAATCAGATGACCATGGATTACTTAGCTTAATTCCAAATTTATGTTCTGTTCTTTTGATATTCAGTTTTTATAGCATATGAATAAGACATGTTTAACTTTTACCTGTTTGAACAACTTTTTCAAGTTTCAACTATTACTCATTTTGTTCAACTTCCATGAACTTGTGTTTTTATCTTTTTAACATTCTCTCTTAAAACTTTTAGGAGATTATGGCTTCTTCTTTGTAGAAAGCTTTGTAGTTTTTGCAACATTGCATCATCATTGTTTGTCTCTCTTCACTGCTTTCATATATACTTGATGTTGTAATGGTGTACTAGAATATTTTTTTTCCACCCTATTATTAATGACTTGAAATTATGCAGGAGAGGTTTTATTTTGGAGATGAGGTTTTGCCTTTGTTTGAGACTGGCATTCCTCTCTTAAAGCAACGTCTGAGTCAGCTTCCCGATGTCAATAATGTGAGTATTCTGCATTATTTCAGTCGTACTTCTTTGTCTATAGAACAATTTTGCAATGTTAAGATTGGATACTTAATGTTTATATTCATGGCAAATTTCCATGCATTCTATTATCATAGTTTTTTTATAGCTTGAATTTTTTATCATTTTTCAGGTAGTCATTGCATTTCCAGATGATGGTGCATGGAAGCGATTCCACAAGCAGTTTGATAATTTTTCTGTGGTGGGTCTGCCTTAAGTATCTCATTTATTAACAATGTATACTTTATTTGTGTATAGATTGTCTGAATTTTACAAGTGGCAGGTCATATGTACGAAGGTTCGTGAGGGTGACAAGAGGATAGTTCGGCTCAAGGAAGGGAATGTCTCTGGTCATCATGTAGTCATTGTTGATGATTTGGTCCAATCTGGAGGCACCCTGATTGAGTGTCAGGTCTATTATTCAATTTGTGCAGCAAAAGCAAATGTTTATTTTTGTCATAAGAAAAAATTGTATGTTAGAAGATTAAGGATATTGGCTTTGCAAAACATAAATAAGCAACACTAATCCATGTTTGGTAACGCTTAAATTTAGAAAAATAATCACTTATTTTCAGAACTCACTGAAAACAGGCAAAAATAAGCAATTATTTCTTAGAAATAAGCTAAACCAAACATGCAATTTGTATTTGCATGTGTCTGCATATATACATTAATAATGCTTGTGAAGAACTCTATATGCACGTGTATATGTCAGTTAATCAATTTGTCTTCCTGCATCTAGATGCAACTGAACATTTCTCTCTTTTTCTATTGGTTACCACTAGAAAGTTTTAGCAGCCAATGGTGCAGCAAAGGTGAGTGCTTATGTCACCCATGGTGTGTTCCCTAACCAATCATGGGAGAGATTCACTCAAAAAGATGGTTAGTACCAAATTAATGTCACATACTTGTACATTCTTATGCCTTTTTTATGTTTGAACGTTATTGCGGGTGCCATTTTATTTACTCTGCAGAAACCTTGGAGAATGCATTTGCCCACTTTTGGATCACAGATTCTTGCCCACTTACTGTCAAAGCTATAGCAAATAAAGCTCCTTTCGAAGTATTGAGTCTAGCTGGGTCTATTGCTAATGCTCTGCAAATTTGAAGGCAAAAACTAGTGAAGGGGAAAAATTCAGCTTTTTGATAAAAAAGATTCTCAACTACAATTTTTGATCCCTGTTTGTACTAGGACATCCTTTCACTTGTGTAAGCATTATGAGCTAAAGCTCAATGAAACCTATGAATTTCTTTTCTTCAGTTCTGGACTGTACTGAGTTGATAACATGTTGAATTTGATTATTTTTGGAGATAATAGCTCTTTTAGAAAACTCTAAGAAAATGTGTTTATGATAATTTGATTATAAAAGCAATTGCTCTTAAATAGAATAAAACAAGTCTACTACAGGAAATTCATAAACTATTGCATATATAGTACTTGAAAAGAAAAACTATAGAAGGAAGAATTTGAATAATTCTGTATTTGATTGATAATTATAGAGGAGACTTTTACACTATATTTATTGGCTAACTCTATCCTAATTATAGTAATTACAAGAGGGTCATATCAAATAAAAAAAATGCACAAATCATGGCTAATCAATTTTGTCCTAATTACAAAAAAATACATAAATAATATGACCTAATTATGGTAATCAGAATCTATCTTAATTATAGTAATCATAACACTCATTCTCAAGTCAGTGAATGTGTGTTAATTTAAGTCCAAAGGAGATATATGATGTGGCTATAAGACCATCTAATTTCTCTTTAATGAAGTGTTATCTATCTCTGTGTGCTTGGTTTGATCATGTTGAATCAGATTATGAGTTATGTTAATAGTGGATTTATTATCACATAACAATTTCATAGACTTCAAACTTTACTTTGAGGTCATTTAGAATTAACTTTGTCCATAACCATTCACACACCCCTTGAGGCATAGCTCTAAATTTTGCTTTGACACTTGACCTTGCAATCACTTTTTGGTTTTTACTCCTCCAAAACACTAAAGTATCTCCCAGAAACATATAATATCCTATGATAGATCTCTTGTCCATAATAGATCCTGCATAATTTGCGTCTATGTAGACTTTTATGGATAATTCAGGTATTGAAGAATTCTATTTACTGTTTGCAAATCTCTTTCTCGAGGATCATACATAAATGGGGTAATCACACTTGCAAATATCTATCTGGTGTTAGATAAATTCCCACTAACCTCTAATATTGTGTGTTTTCCACCTTTGGGCTATCCTCATCATTCCTAATCTTGTGATTTTGCTCTATAGGAGTTTCGATGGTTTTGCACCCTAATGGCCTAACTTGACAATTTTCTTAAGAAGGTCAAGGATGTACTTCCTTTGCGAGATAAAGATACCCTGTTGAGTAGGCAACTTTTATTGCAAGAAAATACTTTAACTTCTCAAGGTTCTTCATCTCAAATTGAGCACTTAATCTTTTCTTTAGATTCTGTTTTTCAAGCTTATCATCTCTTACAATTATCATATCATCTACATAAACAAGAAGGAGACTAAGTTTAACATCTCGAAAATGTTTTATAAAAAGAATACTATTACCTTGGCTTTGCTTGTACCCTAATAGCTTGTGTGAACCTGCCAAACTAAGCACGAGAAAATTGCTTAAGCCCATATAATGCCTTTTTCAATCTGTAGACCTTATGCCCTCTATAAATGCTACTATATCCAAGTGAAATCTCCATATACACTTCCTCTTCCAACTCTCCATGTAAGAAAGTATTTTTAACATTGAATTGATGTATTTTTTGACCAAAGTGCAGCTAAGGAAATGATTATCCTTACTATATTTATCTTGGCTACTGAGGCAAATCTTTCCTCATAGTCAATTCCATAGGTTTATGTGTATCCATTCGCGACTAGTTTAACTTTATACTGCTCTAATATACCATTTGACCGATATTTCATAGTATATATCCACATGCAATTCACAATCCTTTTATTCGGGTGGTTCTTGTATTAAAGTAGGAACTCTAATAGAATCAATGGCTGAAATAAAGTTTTGGTGCTACACATAAAGGTGTTTAGAAGACACAAACTTGGATATGGGATATTTTGCTCAAGTTCTTTTTCTTTTTCTCAAGGCAATTGATAATTCATCAAAATTATCTAAGGATCTATGTATAGAATCAAGAATAGGAGTACTTACCTTTGGTTCGAGCAATTGGAGCTATTTTTGGACAAAGTCAGGTTTTTGTCTTTGTTGATATTGGCATCCAAAGAATTTGTCTTCAATTTCCTGTGATTCAGAGTTCTTCCTTTCATCAATGATAATATCGTCCTCAATAGTTAGGTCTTGCAAAAGGGGGAAAATGATGACTCATTGAAGGACTCAACTTCTAAACAACTCTCTCCCTAAAGCTGAGTACTAGTGTAAAAGGATATTGTTTGATGAAAAGTTACGTCCATAAAGATGTAGAAAAGAAAACTTTGTGGATGATACAATTTGTATCCCTTCTTTTTAGAAGAATAACCTATATGTTAGCAACCCATTTAGTTTTAGTTCCTATCTTTAAGGAACATAAAAATAGGAACGTAATATGATCCATATCTCCATTAACAACATTTAGTTTTTTTTTAATTTATGCAAAGGTTGCCTCTGTTAATTTTTGAATTGGGCTTTATGATAGGTAGAGCCCTATAAATATTTCACATTTTCATGGTTTTAAGTCACCCGAATTCGCTCCTCCTTTAGAACAATACACACCATCGATCACGAATCAACTTGCAATGACTGGAGGTTAATATTAATCAATCCATTCTTCGCTTCTGCATAGCTTTGATAGCTTTTTTACACTATAAAGATACACTTGACAGCCCGAAGATCTAATTTTCCTTGATGAGGACTATGAATATGAACAAAAGCACACATCCAAAGTCTCAACTCTAAAGATTAGTTATAATGGGAACAATAGGAAAGAAGGAATTCATAAGTTAGACAAGACTAACACCATTTTGAAATGTGAGAGAGTAACATGTTTATCAAGTAGGCAGCAGTCAAGACAACCTTTCCTCAATAGAACTTTGGGACAGACATTTGGAATAACAATGTTCTAGCAACTTCAAAGGAGTTATGATTTTTCCTTTTCTGCGACTCCATTTTGTTGTGGAGAATCTACACAAGTGAGCTTATGAATAACACTCTTATTTTTGAGAAAGTTGGATAAACTTTGGTTCACATATTCTCCCAAATTGTTTGTGAACCATACTATAAAAATCCTCAAACAATTGGAACACAATTGATTTATCTTTCATGAAAAATATCCATATAACCCTAAAACAGTCATTAATAAAGGAAACAAACCATTTTGCACTAGAGACATTAATATTAGAAGCAGGACTCCATACATCCAAATGAATAAGATCAAATGGTTCAATACTTTTATTATTATTAAGATGAAAAATTTCTCAATGATGGTTAGCAGACTAACAAATATCATTGTATATTAACACAATAAACACTTTGTTAAATAAGCGAGGAAACAAAAACTTTATGATATTGAAAGGAGGATACTCGAGACACCTATGTTGAAGTCAAATTTGAAAAATTTTAGATTTCGAACTTGGATGATGGTTGGAGAAGACCACCTTCTATTTGGTACTACCCTTATCTTCCTTATGTTGTAGATAGAATAACCTTTCTTGTTTCTTAGCAATTCCAATTGTCCTCCCCGTAGCAAAATCTTGAAAAACAATGGGAGTTAAAAAAAGGTTAGTACACAAGGTTATTGGAAAGTTTGGGGCCATAGAACACATTATTCAAATTGAAGAGAAGTTTAAAACTTGACGTTACCACATCCGGTAACAAGAGTATGTGTCTCATTGGCTATAGTGATGTGATTTTAATCATATAAAGGGGAATAGGATGAAAAATAAAGGGTGAGGTATTATGTTATCAGTAACACCAAAATTAATAATTGAGAGATCTTTAGTACCAAAAGAATTAAAGGTTGAGAAGATAAAATTCTTAACAAACATGGTTAGAGAACAAGTATCAAATGACTTACTAAAGGATTCCATGAGTGTTTGCAAATGTTCCAATTCTATCTTACTAACAGCTAAGACTTCTTCAGTTTGCAACACTGGAGGATCTTCACTAGCAATCTTAGAGTCAAAGGTTTCTTGATTGGCATGTCTTTGTTAGATACCCTTGAACCTCTAAAGTGTCTATGAAGTTTAAAGCAAGTCTCCTTGATGTGGTCAGACCTTTTATAATAGGTGCATCAGCACTCCTCTTGATTAGACTTCATGGAAGGCCAAGGTTGAACCTTCAATGGATTATTCTTCTAACATTACTGTCCTACGACTCTCTTCACCAAGAAAGCTTTTCCTTGCCCAAAATTTGAACTTGGATGGGATTGAATCTAGGGTTCAAGCAGGAGAGGAATTTAAAGATCCTTGCTTTCTGAGTAAATTTTGTCAAAATGGTAATATCTTAATTGCATTTCATTGTCAAATTTTGGTACTAATCTAACTCAATACACAAACTATTTAGAATTTCGTGATATTCAATCACAGACAGAGACCCCTGCTTAGTGTTAAATATTTGATTCTCCATCTCATTACAGGTTGAGATGTTCTTCCCTATTTGAAAAGTTTGTTGCAGAATTTCCCCAACCTACTTGACAATGGCGAAGAAAATATTGTTCCGACTAATTTTAGGAAGCATTGAGTGCCATAACCATGTTATAATGAGAGTCTTCATTAAGTTGGGTCATCCTTTTTTGGGCTTTTCCTTTAATGTGAGTTAACTTCTTTCTTTCCTTTAAGGTTTTGTGAACAAGTTGTGACCATTGTAGATAATTGTGATCGTCAGCAAGAATTTTGTAAAGCAAGGTCATTAAGACCTAGTGCTTGAGTAGAGATAGGTTTCTTGTTAGCCATTAACACAAATGAAAGCCAAGAAGGTAAGATTTATGAACTAGCAATCAAATAGTTCTGGTTTAAGGTCAACCAACCCCTAAAATAGAACTAGGAAGCTCCGACGACTCATGTGGTGGTAGCAATGTCGTGAACGGTAGAATGAAAATGTACTATTAATAATTTGATTAAAAGAGAAATTGCTCTTAAATAAAATATAAAATTAATAAAGGAAATTCCTAAACTACTGCATATAGAGTAAATTCCTAAAATTAAGAGATTCTCTTGCAACAAATACAAAATCAAATAAGTAATATTATCTCCTAATTATAATATTTAATTCTATTCTTTCAATTCTATTTAAGTCAACCTTTAAATATTCTGACAAAAACAAAAAAACAAAAGAGTATCACATTTTCTTTATTACAAGATGTTTAAAAATGCAAGTAGTCTATCTTGCCTAATATGCTTCATTAAAAGGAATTAGAATTTGAAGTCACTGCCTTAGTCCTTGTTTAAAATGCATGGAATATATATCTCAATTTTGTAATTTATGGTACAATCATGCAAGCTTGCTTCGCACATCATTTGTTTTTATTTGCTCATTAACAGTTTTATATTTGATAATGTTTACATGCTTATCTGCGTAGAAAGGATGACACATTAATATAAGATGAAAATTTATAAGGGTTGATAAAATAATGCTTCACAAAGCCTCCAATATTTCAAAGCATTCAGATTTTCACTAACAATAATCTGAAATAAATACAATGGCAAGAAACCAGTTCACAACTTCACATCTTTACAGACATTTCAATTTTCTCTTGGCTACAAGACAACAACATTGATAAACAGGATAGTTCCTCGTTTTCCTTCTATACAAACTTTTTTTTTTTTTTTCATAAATTGGATTTTTTTTTCCCATATACACATTAGTCATATCCGCAGAAGGCCACAAAAGCCTTGACAGAGAAAGACAAAAATAACAAATCCCCAAGTCATCCTGCACAATGCGGCATGCATGCTGTCGTAGAAACATACCATCCAGCAATTCACTCCAAGTTATTCTTTTCCACTGATAAAACAATTGTTTCTCTACACATCAACAAACTGCTCTCAGCATATTTGGATGATTATTATAATCTATTGACATATCCAGAGAGCCTGCACCTGCTGATAACTGGGCTGCTCCCTTCATCTTTTTACATTTTTTTTCACATATTTGATGAATCAACTTTGTACACCTTTAGATCTCCTATGCAGTAGTTAGCACTCCTAGACCCCATTTATTGTGGCTAGGAACAATATATCGTATAAATGGTTAATCTTTCTCTAGCTTCTCATCCAAATTGCCCTTCGGGCTCTCCAACAAATCACCTGAATACGATCCATCAGGCTGACGAATGCATATATTCAAATTGCTCGATAGCAAGTGTTCCTAGATTGTAAGCAAAGAGAAAAATAGTCAGATAATTCCTTGAAATGAAATGTTAAAGGAATAAATTGATTGATTAATGCGGCCTTCGCACAAGAGAACCAGTAAATTTTAGTCTAACAGTATAGCAATTTCACGTTGCAACTGAAAAGTGAACTAAAAGCTCACATATGACATCATAATTCACAATCAAGCAATCCTCATAGCCGTCTTGGAAATTATTTGACCAATTTATAAGTTGAGTTCTACATATAAAACAACTCTAAGCTCAAGTCTGGCAATTCATGTGAATAGATAATCAGTGCAATATTTATAATACAGTTCTCATAACTAGTGCAGCTCACGTCTGCAACACTCAAGCCTCTACAGGTAGGTTGCCTCTGACTTACCACTTCAAAATTAATAAGAAAATGCTATAGATTTTGATAATTTCAATAAGAACGTGATAGGATGCACAACCTAAAACTTCCAACAAATAATATGGACTCATCAACTTTTCTTTTTTTCTGAATCTCACTTGTCAATGTTTCATCCCAATCACTAACTAAAAGTTGAAGGTGAAATTGTATAAACCATATCCAATTTCAAATCCAGTAATTGTTTTTAAAATGTGCAAGATGTCCAAGATCAGGACTAATATGTCTGGCCAATATCTTTTAATAGCTGCAATCAATTTAGACATGCAGTCAAATATTACCTGGTCACCAGTATCTTGGCCCTCTGAATGAAAGAGAATTGGCCGGCACCGCTTGTCTTCATTCATTAAGCTTGAATTCTGAAAATGCATCACAAGAGCAGCCTTTCCTTGTATCCGTGCATATGCCAGTGAAGCAACTTTTTCGCTATTAAACTTTTCCCATTTCTTCCCATTAAGTGCCTAAATAAATTTCCATGACAGACTTCTTAAAACTTGAAGTGCACAAAACTTATCCGACCAGGACAAGTTTAATAATTGCAAATTACTAAAAATTACCAATATATTCAACCTTCTATTCATATGTACTTTTTAAAAATATCAGAATAATTCCATACAGACATTTATTCTAATGAAATAATGCACATTTAAGGAATTAAGGAAATCCTTACATAACAGAAATATGACGCCAGATATGCAAAAGTTAAATTTTTTTAACCTTATAGAAGGGGATGATGTGTGAAGGAGACACCATGTTGATGAAAGCATAACCCACATTACACTTATTCTACAAGCAAAATCAGGGATAAGGAAGTAAGTCATCAGGGCAGGAGAAATCCCTCAATCCTAATTTCAAAGATATGTAGGATGTGTATACCTTAAAGTCAATTGGCAAGTAGAGAAAGTCATAAGTACCCCGGTGATTCTCATCAATTGCAGCAAGCAGCATTTTTGAAGTGTACCTAAAAAGCAATCACAACAGACACATTAAGAAATTCATCAGTCACCATCCTAATCAAATTGGTAGTGTCTTGATCATATCACTAGGATACTTGTTTAGTAGTTCTTACTTGTTAGGAATATTCTTAATCATCAAAGTAGTCCTTGTATCTTCACCACTAATGATTTTGTCTAGATCAAGCTGGTACAGCTTCTTACTATCAATTTGGTTCCCACTATTGTCCGGTCGCCTACTGCGTCCCCGTTCAGCTAAACCCTCCATATTAATTGCTCCTGGTCCAGAGTAAGAAGCATTTCCTGGGAACAAGGAACCATGCCTAGGCAGTGACATCATTCTGAAATTAGGTGAACTAATTTCAGTAGTATTTCCTGAAAGACCAATGCCAACTCCTAAAGAAGCACGATTACCCATGTTCACCATAAAACTCCTGTCACTGTTATTCAAGTTTCCAAATGCAACCGGGTTCATGAGAGAAGCTTCAGGTGACTCCGGAAAGTAGCTAAAATGCCTATCAAGAGGAAGGCCAGATGGAGCAGATCCTACATGATGATGGGACTGGGAGCCAAGAAAAGTACTGTGATGACTAGTATATGGGAAACCCTGCCTTTGGCCACTAGATGTAAATGGAAGCCCCACAGAAGACGATGACCAGGCAGATGTGTTTGAATGGTCTGAATAAGGAGTTGGGCTTCCCCAAAGAAATTGAGGACCAGATAGTGTCCCAATACTAGATGCACTTGAACTTGATTCACCAAAAGTTGATATAGGCCGAGGACTTGCATTTACTTTTTGCTCAGGAAAGGACACAGAATGCTGAAAAGCTGCTCCTTGTGTTGATCCAGAGTTTGCAAACATCTGATTTGCAGACCTTCCAGGGTCCTTGCCAATTGGTGCAATCTTGGCAGATGTTGATGCATGTGGGGAAAGAATTGCAGCCAATCCAGGCAAATGGTTGGAATGGGAAGTATTCATAGGGCTGGTATGACCCAAACCAGGGGACTTGCTAAAGGAACCTAATGGATTATGTTCAACTGGACTACCAAATTGTGCCCAGCTACCTGAAAAAGTTGCCAATTAATTTAGCTTGTAACTGAGGATACCTTTCTAAAATGATAAACTAGAACTGCACATGAGAAAGAAGACTGGATTAAGAGATATTTACCAGGAGGGGAGTTGGCCACAGGTGAATCTACTTGATGCCTAAAAGTTCGAGCTTCATCTTGTTCCAGTTCTTGACTCAGTTGTTGCATCAAGCTAACAAGAGAAAATGCATTACTAGTTTTTTATAAGTTTAATTATGTAGATAATAACATTGTCAGTAGCATAAGGACATATAGTGTAATATTAGCCGAAACCATAACAAGGAAAGTTAATGCCAAAAATGATGGGAAGAAAACAGGCACAAGAGACAAAAAGACAAAAGCCTAAGCATCATGTCTAAAAGAATGATCAGAGAAAAGCAATTGATCAATAATTACACATGCACACTGTACACGATTAAAAAAAAAACTAAAAACTAAGAGGAAAAGGCATGTAGCCAGAGTTCCTGAGCAAGCGGGAAAAAAAGATCATCAGAAGAAATAACAGTGCCCTTCTTCATCCACCAGAGTGCATTACTACAAATTGATGCAAAAGGAATGGTGAAAGTGACTTAATTTCATAAGTCAATTTCTTTTTACATCCTACTTTTATATTTATACGGGTTTAGAAGCTTACAAATTGATCACCAAAGTAACACTAGTTAGTACTTACAAAGCCAACTGTAAACCCCAATACATTACTGCAGTTTATCATGTACGTGAAATGAAGATGGTATGAAAACATGAAAGGTGTGAAAGCCAAAGGAGATAGGACACCTGAACAAAATCCATGTTTTGAAACTGAAATTCACCGACACATTTAGAATATTTGGAAGATCTCTTTAGAATTGCAAACTTTTAAAGGATGTGAGCGTAAATGAACAGTTGATTCAAGAATTTGATGGATGATTAGAACTACATTATTTCTTTACACTTTCCACATTTAACCATCCAGTCTGTTTTCCATGAAAGCAAAATCAACTAATTTATTTGATATATAATGCAACTTACAGATATTCAAGGATGTACCACCATTGTCAAAACTTTCAAGTATGTCACTACTATTCTACCATGCACTAAAGAGTTAAACAAGAAGGTCAAAGGAGAAAAATTATTTTTATTGGAAAAACATTTAAAGTATACTAACCAAGATAAAATCCAACTTACTTTCTACGTGCTCCACCAGGGCGGCTAGGTTCAAGTTTTATGCGTTTCCCAGCAATATCACTTCGATTTAATGCTTTAAGTGCTGCCTCTGCTGCTCTCACATCATAAAATTCAATAAACTTGTGGTGTCTCTTATGAGGTGTTTCCCTGATCTGCAATTTAATGCATAAGTTACAACTACTCCAAGCACTAGATTAAATTAAGTGGAGACTAATGAAAACACATTTACATATATTACCTCCTTGACCTCACCATAAGCCCCAAATATTTGACGCAGATCGTCATTTGACACTGATGGATCTAAATTGAACACTACAAGGGTTCCTTGGTTAATATCTTTTTCTGAGGGATTGTCCTGAAACAAGCAGAAGAAAGATGAATAACTCAGAGGCAACATCAGTGATAATCATTCAAACATTAAGTAACACCATAAAATTCAAACCTTAGGAATTGAAAAATGAATATCAAGTTTTCTTCTTCTCAAGGGCTTGTTTTGTAAAGCACGCATGGCTGTGCGAGCAGCTCGAATGTCATAGTAAGATATCATCACAAAGCCCCTATGCTTGCATGCTGTATACAAAGTTCTGATATCCCCATATTGCTATAAATAAAAAAGAAAAAAATCAAAAATAAAAATAGCAAAGTAAACAGAGAAAAACGAGTTCTACAAGCTGTACACAAGTAAGACATTCAATACAAAAAACTCTCTTGGATTGCACCATGTCACTAAATATTATCTAGATGCTTAGGTCAAAATGCCAAACCTTAAAACAAGCGAGACATGAAGTGGGTAATTGAAATAAATCCTAGCATCTGATAAAACAAGCCAAATATTCTCAATTAATTGAAAATCCCCACCCTTTTGTCCCACTAAAAATGATTTATTTATAAAATAATTGGAGAAAAAATACAAAAAGGTTGAGGATAAGATATCCTCCAACAGATACAATAAAAGAAAAAATATAATTTAAGAGCCTCTTGAGTGCACCAAGCTATCCATCATACCAGACACAGAAACATATATCAGGGCTTAGAAAAACCAATAAAAATGCCTGTATTCCTCTCCAACAAGATACACCAGCTGAATAGTATAATCTGCACACTGCCATAATATTAAAACCACCCTATTCTCTCTAAAAACTTTTGTAATGTATCAAGAAAATCATTGAATATCAATATTACCAAACTCAATTGTGTTTAATACTTTTCAAATGTAATTTCCCAAATGACCAAGTAAACCAACTGAGTAAGAATGCAAAATTAAACATGAAAAATCAATATTACCAAACTAAATTATGTTTAAACATAGCTCTATTATCAAAGGATTGACTCAATGTAAATGCACTCAATTAGTGATCTAATTCATAGACATAAACGCAACTAAGAAGTAAATGCATCTTACAACACACATTAATTATTAAACATGTTAAAAAGTAAATATAATACTATGGAAGCATTAGATAAATGTACAATACCTCAAATAGTGTTCGTAATTCAGAGTCCTCAACATTACTGTTGATGTTTCGAACAAATAATGTCCTTGATGGATGCTCTCCATAGGGATGCTCCCCAGCAACTGTTCCCACGCCATTTGGGATTGCATAGTGACCAATACCATTTGAAGCAACTCCATCTGAAATGTTTATCTTTGACATAACAATATTAAGGCTCTCTTGGTCAAAATCCATCTCAAATCCCCCTCCATTGACAAACATATCACTTTCATCCAAATCCTCCAATTGGCTGGGCAATTTACTGAGGTCAAAATCATCCATTATTCCAGCTAAAAGCTCCTCTTCATCATCAGGAAGCATGTTTCCAATTGCACTGGTTTCGAAATCATCAAAAGGATCATGTCCCTCATCATCCTCTTTATGAACTTTATCTAATGTTAGCATGTTATCATCAACTGGTTGACCATAATGTTCAGAATCAGTCAAATCTACTGCATGTCAACAACAAAATGAGAAGAAAAATAGGTCTCAATAATCATTTTGACTGATTCTATTATGTTCTATCAAAAACATCAAAATTTAATCATACACTTTTCATGTGGAAGAACAGGCAGTGAACTAGAAAACAAGCTAACATCACTTGAATCATGGAATATATCGGTGGCATGCGGTATTCCCCATGCACTGCTTCCCACCCTTTTTGGAATATTAAGTAAGGAAATCCCTGATGGGCCTACAGAAACAACATAAAAATTAGTTTAAAAAAATCTCTACTCAAGAATTTATGTACTACATATGAAGTAAGAGGAGGCACCTGCAGCACCATGACCAGACAATGAATCCCCAGAATGTTTGTCCATTTTCAGTCACTTTCTACTAACACTGAAATGTGACAAAAAAACAATAAAGGAACAAAATAGTGTCAGATTCCTTAATATCTATAATTTGAAGACATCATAAAAATACTAGGAACCAATGTGCCATAAATGAAGAAACAGTCACAATCAAGTAAAATACATCACTATTTAGTCTCACAAAAGACCAACAGATATTTCCTTGTAGTTTTACCATTTTCTTGACTTTATCTCACCTAGTGAGTCTAGTGAGAGGAGGAAGATGCAATCATTTGTATAACATCTGGTGCACATGTTACAAGTTATAACCACTATCAACAAAAAAAATCATTCATATAACATTTCCCTCCCCCTTTTTCAGAATTTAAAAAATCAAAATTGGAGGTAGTTTCTGAGACTTCTATCTACTGTGCACCACCCATACTTCGACCAACATCCACCCACCCACCCTTCTCTCTATTTTGTACCCCAACACCCACCCATCTCATGCAATATTTCTGGTAACACCACCAATTTTCTTTCTTAACTCTGAATCACCTCTATTTTGAACTTTGAACCCTCAACCTCCTCTGTTATTCTCCTTGCAACCCCCACCCTCACTTTTATTGAATGTTTGAAGAGTATTTTAAATATGAATGTTTTTTGAATTTTATTTGTTTCCTTGACTTTTATTGTTATGTACTTATAAATTTTGCTTAAGACCTATGTCTTTTTATTGTAAATTATGAACATGTAATGACTTTTGAGTAATTTTTTCTATTTTTGAGCATTTATATATCTATAGTGTAAATCATTTAATCTGAATAAAAAAATTCTAAATAGTAGACCATCTCTTTATGTGCTATGCCACTATTGTTTCTAGGGTCAGCCACTATCACAGATTGATAATTGTGGAACCAAACTAAAAAATCAACCATAGTAGTCAGTTCAAACTTTCCCTTCTACCCTTTATGCCTCCAAACAAAAGAGATCTAATTTCCATGTCCTTGCCCTTTCTATTATTTTCACTCTTTAATTCTAATTTGTTCCATTAAGCTCAACTATTTCAAACAAGATGCTAAAGTATCTGATTAAGAAAAGTTTATTTTCAACTTAATCAAAATCAAAACAGTTTGCCTCCGTTCTTTACTCACAAAAGCACAATCCTAATGTATTATAGGAATGCTATTGAGAGATTAAACTATGGACAAAACTCAAGTGCAATTCCTTAAGTACTACTAGTGTTGTTCTCAAATTAAAATAAAAAATCTACCTCGGTAACCTATATCACCATAAATGCCAACCTTTATTGTGCAAGTTACCGAGGTAAAACTCTAATTACCGAGTTACAAAAGATTCTGTACTTAAATTTGTCCTTAAAGAATTTCATAACTGACACAAGACCACAGAATCAACTTTGTTCAAACACAAACAATAAACTAAAGTTTCTCACAAGAATTATCAGCATAGTAGCCGTAACTGCACAAGAATCAAATATCAAATAACAGGAAAGACAAATTAGAGAGGTTAAAGAAAACCAAATAAAGAACGCTTAGTAGCTGATGCATTTCACAAAAGGGTAAGAAAAAGACTACATAGTCAACTCAATGGTCAAACAAAAAATTCCCCAGAAAAAATTAATCAACTTCACCCAAACCCAGAAAGGAAAATTCAACACACACACACACACACATACAAACACAGAGTTACTCTCAGATTACCCAAAAAAAAAGGGTTTATCATCACCAATCAAAAATTCAAGCTTATGCACCTAAATAACAAAGACCCACTTGCCAGTTAACCCGATCAAGTGCACAAAAACCAAAATTTCAAAGGAAAAAAAATTTACTCACCCCAAATACTTGAAATGCGTGAATTTAGGGGGAAACAAAGGAAGGAAGAAGAAAAGTACCTTGTGCAAGAGGAGGGGCTAGAGGGAGTTCATGGAGGAATGTTATTGAGGAGTGAAGAAGTTGTGATGATCACGGAAATTGAGAAGAGAAGGGTAAGAGTTTCCGTAGAAGCAGAGAAATTTCTTCCTTCTACTCTTCTACTTCCTCCTCTGTCGCCGGGAAACCAGAGAGCAAGAGTGAGAGAAATTTTCCCGGAAAATCAAAGAAAAGAAAAGAAAAGAAAACACTGAACAAGAGAATGATTGGAGGGAAGAAAGACATGCACATGAAAATTAATGAATTATTATTATTGTTGTTATTATTATTATTATACGACGTTGAGAAAGTAATATAAAATTTGTCGTAAAATAGAGTACTTTATTGATAAAAATGGACACAATGAATAATAATAATAATATAATAATAATTATTATTATTATTATGATCTATTTTCTTCTGTTTATTTTTCTTTTCTCACATTCTGCCACATTTGAATTGTATTTCGCGTCCGTTGACACGAATGCTCCATATTCAACACTCGTCGAGTTCTCAAGCTTGAAAGTTTATATTATCCAAAATAATAATAATAATAATAATATGATAATGCAAAATGTAAAATGTATATTTAAAAATTATAGATCTCGATGCTTTTATTTTGGAATTTAAACCCATGAATAAATAATAAATAATATATCGTTAAATTTTGGATATTAATTTATCCAGTTGATTTATAGTTTCTTTTTTTTTATGAGTTTGTTTAGGATTTTGTGTGAGAAATACAATTCATTCAATTGCTAATATTCATAATATTACAAAATAATAATTAAATAATTATATTAAAGATTAAGATGTTCTCTTAAATGAATTTAAAACTATAGAAACAATTGCAGATATAGTTTGTACAATGTGTCAATAACATGTTGATTCAAGTGGATTTATGTTAAATAAATATTTAATTTGTACCTTTTTAATAAATCGTAATTAATTTGTTTTTATATTCCTTTGGTTTATCGAAATAATATTTAAGTATTTAAGAACATTCATCATTAAAAAAATGAAAAAAAAATATAACACATGTTTAGTTCAATTTTTTTAGTGAATAAATTTCCAACAATTTTTTTTCATACTAATTAAAATAGTTAATTATTTCTTTAAAATAAATAAAATTAAATATGCACATAACCTCTTAAAACAGATACTAGTTCACTTTTTTTTAACGTGGTTGAAAAAAATTTCTCAAAGTATTAGTTACATATTAGTAAAAGTATTCGGATAATAAAAATAACAGACACAGAATTACATCTTTCACACCATTTATAACATTAAAATTAGTGTATTACTGTTTAAAGGTTTAAACTCCAACAAATCATGTTAGTTAACCCATTAATCCATATGAGTCTCTTGTTATTTTAAATATATTTATTATCACTTTTTCTTTTGGAAGAATTACTTGAAGAATCGTGTTATAATATTTTATTTTATGCAAAATTAATTTATTGTGGGATTAGGAAAAAAATTGATCTATTTCAAGTTTATAAAAATAATACTTAAAATGGATAAAGTCTATTTTTTATAATCTTAACTTGCAGTGAACTTAATTGAATCAAACTAAGAAGATATGATTTAAGTTTAAACTTAAAATTTATTTTTTAATTATTTAAAATTTAAATTCTAAACTTTAGGCTTAGTGAGGTAGGGAATATCATTTTATAAAATTATATCGAACCTCGTTGATATTGGAAATCAGGATGTAACTTACAAATAAAATAAGAAAAAATAACGAATAATATTTTTTTAAAAAAATTCAGCTTAAGCTAAAATAAGTAAGTATTAAGTTATATATAAGTGAGTTAACATGTTTACATCGTTAAATATATTTTTTAATTAATTAATGGTTTCAATCTTTTATCTTTATTTAATAATATTGATTTTTATATATTTATATTTTAATCTTCTAAAAAATTTATAAAATTGTTTTTTAGATCTTTAAAATTTATTATTTTAAATATTCATAGGATTATATTAATAGTCATTTTTTATTTTTATTTTTAACACAACTCTTGCATGTATTTATGTGATAATTTTAAGAATTAAAACTTTCATGTGTACTAATGCAGTTTTAATTTGTAATAAAAAGAATTTGAATTAATATATTATTTTAGATTTTTAAGACTCTTTACAAACTAGTTCATAATTTTTAAAATTAAAACTTTCACATTTATTTTCAAAGTCTTGGTTCCTCATAAAAATTAACTTTTGTATTGATAAATTATTCAATGTCATTTTAAATGTTCCATGAGCCTTTCATACATACTAGTTGCATCTGTACAATATAATATTTACAAAATTATCTTAAGTTATTTTAACCTTGTTCATGCAAAAGTTAAAAAAAAATATAGCTCATTAAATAGATATTACTTAAACACAATAATGAATTTGTTTAAACAAGAATACTTTTATCTTAAACAAAATTTACCTAGTTTAAGCAAATTGTGCAGACATAAAAATTCTGCAATTTTAGCTTAAACAAAAAAAAAATATCTTTAAATAAAAATTGATAAAAAAATTTATGAAACTCAAGCTCACAATGAAAGTCTCTTAGATGCAAGTCTGATGAAACCCACTGTTTAAGTTTAATAATTAGTAACAAAGGCTAAAAAGACTTATTAGAAGGTTAGTTAGTATTTTATATAAAATAAGCTTTGGATAGTTTGTTAAAGGAGATAAGGATTAGATTATTTTAGCTATTCTATATTTAAGTAGTCAATTTTGGTTATTAAGAGATGGCTTTGGGAATAAAAGAAGAAAGAATTTCATTCTTTAGGAGAAGTTGTTGCTCTTGGAGGGATTCTTGTAATCCTAATTTTTCAAATAATTAATACAAGTTCTTTTTCATCTTTAATTCTTCCTAAATTTTATCTTTAAACTCTAACAATTTTGTATTGTTATCCATATATAAAATTAGTTTAAGCAAATATTATATAGTTTAAGCAAAATTTATAAAGAATGATTGTCCAATGTCTTTTAATGCTCAACTATATTTTTTTATCCTTATTCTAATTTAGTCAAATTATTTATTATTAAAAAATTAGGATGAGTATATAATGTTTTCAAATTTAATTAGTTTTATTTATAAAAATCATAATTTAAAATACGATAATACTAAGAAAGTATAATTATTTAAGTAACTAGATTTAAAAAACAGGTTTGCATGTAATAAAGAAAAAATAAGAAAGAACGGAAGTAAAATAAGAAAAAATTAAATAAAACTTCTATTACACTATTTTAACTAAAAATTATCTTATTCTAGGCTTAAATATTTCTTTTAAACTTTTAACTTTAAATTTTAATAACTAACAATGAATATATTAAACTTAACTATTAGAAATATAAAAAAAAAATTAAATTTAAACTAGCTTTAGAAACAAAGATAAAATAAAATGAGTTTGATAATTTTTACCTTCAAAATTATTACAATTATATTTTTAAAAGATATTTATTATAAAAGTTACTTTAAAGAATTTATTTTAAATATATAATATTTTGAAAATTTTAATTTACAAATTTTTTTTAAAATTAAAATATAAATATTATAACTTTTAAAATATTTTATAATAAATTATTTTACTAATTATTTATAAATTATATAATACAGTTGCATCACGTAATAAATACCTTTTTTTTTGTTCACTTGTAATTTGAACATTTTAATGAAATTATTCTCAGGCATGATTCAGTCAGCAATGAACGAGTGTGGCCATGTTCTCTTCATTGTTGAAGTGTACTTGTGTTGGGTTGGCAGAAACTAAATGGAAAAAAAAATAAAATTAAACAAGTATACTTAGCAGATTAAAAAATTAAAATTAAATAAAAATGTATTAAAATTAAGATAAAAATATATTCAATAATATTTTCATAGAAATTAAATTATTAATTAGTATTTTTGGGGTATTGCCTAATATATAATTTATAATGTGTGACTTTTCTGAGTTTTGACCAATAGATTTCTCTAGCTGACCAATAGGATTCCAAAACAATAGAAGATAATGTGAGGTTGTTTGCACTTGAATTTAACTTCCCTTCAAGTGCAAGTGCCATTGGTGTAATGACGTGGCGTTGCGTAGGCAAAGGGGTAAATTCACCTGCTTTTCCATGCGAAACTTTCGTTGGGAGCAATGTCCAATTAAATAACGCCACGTTGCTTCCAAAGTGCACCTTCCCCTTTCGTTGTCAAAGTTATCTATGATTTTGCCATTTTCTTTCCACCGTTCTTAGAACAATTTTATAATTTTCTATTTTTAAAAGGATAATAATGTTCTTGGTTACTTAGTCAATGCACATTGCAACTTGCAAATTTCGACCCTCTTTTATCGATTACGAAAATTCAAAAAATAATTAAAATAAATTTATTCTAGTAAGACTAATGTTAAAGTTTTATCTATAATGTAAAACTTGGTGTATTATTAAACAATGAAATTTTACTTTACATGCATGCATAGTCCTTAGAATGGGTTAGTATTTTTTTTTCCTTCTTCTTCAATCAGCATAGAGTAGATTAATTAGTAAAGTGACACTTTTGATGCTCAGCATATTCTCTTACCAAAAACAAAAGGCCCAAAGAAACTAACAGGCTGAGGCCCATTAAGTAAATATAAGCCTAGAGCATCATTTATATTCTAACCCAATTTTTTCTATATATATTTTAGGTTAAAATTCAATTGATACTGTTCATGCATCAACCGACAACGAATTATGACAACAGTTTCGTTAATTGAATTATTAAAATTTAATATCATATGTTATATTAAACATATTTTTTACTTACTTTTACTTTTATATATATATATATGCAAAAAATTTTTGCATTATTATAAATTTAAATTTTTTTTACTCAATTTAAATCTTTTATTTAACTTATATTTAACGAGTTATAATTTATTAATTCATTAATCGTTAAATGTAAGTTAAATAAAAATTTTAGATTCAGTATAAGAGTTTTTAAATTTATACAAGCGTGAGAAGATATTTTTTCATATTAAACGTCTAGAGTTCAAAAACTATTTATTTACATTACCTCTTTAAACACAAATTAATTTTTAAATTTTTTATATAAATTATCATTTACTAAAAGTAATTTTATTCAAGTTGAATAAGATTATTATAAGAACAAAATGGTTCCTTTTGAATATTTAATCTAGCTGCGTAAATATAATCTAACGATATGGTAGGGCTTAAACTTTAATAAATAATTAATAACTTTTATTGCAAAATTTACTAATATAACTATTATTATTTTATTTTGCATCTCAATTTTTTTTAC